TCTAAGAGTATTTTTCCGTAAGCGGTCTTGCTTTTTGACTTCTATTTCAAGCGCTTTGTACAGTGTTACGTCATTAAATCGTTTAGATGAGGGATCAGCAGAAATAACAACAAAATCCTGAGTTGATAAACGCTCAAGTTGCGAATGTTATCACGGATGTGATCACATTCAGAAATGTTAAATTGTTAATTGCTCAATTGTGATAGAAATTTATAAAGGAATGTGAAATCAATCAATTGATTGATTGATTTTCTTTAGACCGGGCGGTCAAGGATAACCTACGAAAGTGCAAGCACTTATTTCCAGTAGGGTTACCTCAGCAGACTCTAGAGACAGCTATGAGATACAAGGGAGTCCGGGAACTAGTCTCTAGCTCTTATTGAATAGATCTCTTGGTTTTTTTACATGCCAAGTGTACATGTATAGCACTGATACATGCGAGGATTACCTGGGTTTCTAACCAGTTAACCTCTAGGTTGGTGGGAAACACTGAAAGTGTCTCTGAAAAATCCCAAGGGTGTTACCCATAATCTTAATCATAAGATTGTGTATGAATCATGCCATTTTCTCGTGCAATTTCGACCTACAATAAGCAGGGCTAGGTCGAATCCTATAAAATGTAATGAAAAAAGTATATTTTTCTTTATTACTCTCTTTGTTGGAAATGACTGAAAACCATATATATCTAATTACACGCTCCACTATTTTTCTGCTTCGTTCGGATTGACAAAATTTCTAGTTTACGCTCGACTATTCGAAAAATAGGAAGAGCTATTGTAATTATGAATTTTGACAGCACTATGGCCCCTTTGAACTTAGAAAATTCTACATTATTCAGGCCCTTGTTTAACTATCAAGCACTGTGAATAGTCGAGCGCACTGGCTCTTGTTAATAGATGTCACAGGGTCAAGTATACATTGTCCGTCTTGCCAAGTGCTGTATATTTTTGGTCTGTTCGTGACCATGCCTGTCTCTGTATATTTCAATGTTAATGTCCATGTCCCTTATTGTTTTCCGTAGTTATTTCTTTAATTCATATACTCATAGCTCGTATCTCATATCCAATAGCCGTTACCTATATATAATAGTACTTTATAACCTTTTCAATATCTTCGATTAACTTTTCTCGCTAATATTTCAATTTCCCCGCTAATCTGCACAACGCATGCGCACTTGAATTGAGAAATTGTTGGCGCAGGCCACGGTTTTGTTGTAGAGAAGAATAAATATTTTGAGTTGCGCATACTTGTCTTTTTACAGACCCCTCTACACCAGGTCCAGAACTCACAGCAGAGTCAACGACCCCTTTGTTTCGTTTGAGCTGCGACAATTGGCGCCCAACGGGGGACCGTGACTGATATAGCTCAGAGTTTAATTTACATTGCTCTGTAACTCTGTGAAATTCGAGGACGAATTTCAATATAGCAGGGGAGTATGTCACGGTTCAGAACTGTTCACTATTTAGGGGAGAAGATGTGTAAGCGGCCGGATAGCTCAGTCGGTAGAGCCGCGGAACGGTATTCCGAGGGTCCCGGGTTCGAGTCCCGGTCAGGCTGCACATTTTTCTCACCCTATGACATAGATAAGTAGCGAGATTTAACATTCTTTTAAGAACTTTCACTATAGATACTGGTACTGTAAATAATAAGTTACAATTCTTGAAAGAAACATGCGAAAGTTGTGGTTAATTATCGCGAAGATTTTTACACTTGCGAGGATGTAAAATCTTGCTACTTCATCTATAAAAATACATAAAGCCGGGCAAGACTATAGAAAAAATATCGTGTTAATAGGAGTCCATTAACTGGCCCAAGCAGGACACCTTATATTTCAACTGTATTAAATCCACGTGGAAAGTAACGGTTATTCAAAAGTGTTTTCTTACAGACGTAAGAAAACACTTTTTGAATAGCTCTGCTGGGGTATAGTCGTATAATTATTAAAATTCACTTTCATTCATGATAAACAATACTTAAATGGAGAGATCAACATTGAAACTGAACATGTTCTGCGTCAATGTTATATGTATAACGTTTTGGACACCAAATTTGGTAATTTTCCTTATTCACATGTTTAGCTTAACCACAGGTTATCGGCGTGGGGCCAACCCTACCCCAAGGTTATCGGCGTGGGGCCAACCCTACCCCAAGGGTGCCACCGCTATACTACCCTCATATACTTCAACTCATTCAAAACACATGTCAATACAAATGCATACAATTCTATCAAAAATATATTACTGATACTTAGTTTATAAGTAATATATTTTTTGATGACACGATGGTGAAAACACGATGGCACGATGGTGAAAACGCGATAGCACGATGGTGAAAAGGCGATATCAAGATGGTGAAAGCTGTATAGCACGATGGTGAAAACGCGATAGCACGATGGTGCAAACGCGATAGCACGATAGTGAAAACACAATAGCACGATGGTGAATACGCGATAGCACGATGGTGAAAACGCGATAGCACGATGGTGAAAACGCGATGACACGATGGTGAAAACGCGATGGCACGATGGTGAAAATGCGATAGCACGATGGTGCAAACGCGATGACACTATGGTGAAAACGCGATAGCATGATGGTGAAAACGCGATAGCACGATGGTGAAATCGCGATGGCACGAGGATGGAAAAACGCGATAGCACGATGGTGAAAACGCGATAGCACGATGGTGAAAACGCGATAGCACGATGGTGAAAACGCGATAGTACGATGGTGAAAACGCGATAGCACGATGGTGAAAACGCGATGGCACGATGGTGCAAACGCGATAGCACGATTGTGAAAACGCGATGACACGATGGTGAAAACGCGATAGCACGATGGTGAAAACACGATGGCGCGATGGTGCAAACGCGATGGTACGATGGTGCAAACGCGATGTTATCACCATCGTACCATCGTGTTTCCATCATCGTGTCATCGTACCATCGCGTTTTCACCATCGTATCATCGTGCATTGCGGGTAAGGACGAAATAAAATTATCACGATTGTCCAAACGGAACACCGTACCGTGCCTATATTCCACTTAACTATTTGTGATGTGCGTAGAACGAAAGACCGTTCATGTTTTATTTTCTTCCCTAACCTTTTTATTATATTTATTTATTTTCAAGTTTTAATCAAGTGTAGAGCCCGCTCAAATTTGTGAGGAACACTAACATATAATGTTTCCCCTTAAAAAAGAAATAATTACTGTTTTCGTAATGTGAAACTGCGTGAATATCTGATTCATCAAACTATAAGCGGTTTCACTGAATAAGTAATGTTTTATAATCGTATTAAGGACACATTTAATAAAAGAGGTAATAAATAATATCTTATCTGTAATCTAGCAAAAAAAAAAGAAACACACTTATTTTACCTTTAAACTGGATGAATATTTTGCACGCATACCGAGTACAGCTGATGTTCGTCGTACCATGAGAAGCTCGTTCAATCCGCTTTAAGACACACGTTCTCAACTAAACCGGATTTCGGCAAATCGTTGCTGATGGCAAAAAACCAAAAAAACAAAAACAAACAAAACGGATTTATTTGAAAGATACGCACATTGCTCATATATCACAAACCGCCAATGAGCGCCCGTTTTACAGTGCCCGCAAATGATCTATTAAAACACAGGATGGCAATTTCAAATTATTGACGGCGGCAGAACTGGTTTGATATTAATATATAATTATAATTATACTGGAAAGTGGTCAGGCTATGGATTGTGAATATAAGTAAAATAAGAAAATCAGCGTTTTTCAGACAAAACTTCAATAAACTATTGTATGACAAATGATTGCAACAAAACTTATGCAGCCAGTCTGAACACCTGTGTACTGCCGTTGACTTTATGAACAAACCTGCTGAATTTGTGCACTTGATTTTCCCAGCTTTGAATTTGGAATAATCTGTTTTTAATTTAAGGACTTTTAATGTTAAAATACCCAAGACTACCAGCCGTATAGAGCCTGGTAAGACTGTCTGGAGGAGCAGTCTGCCTTGTTAGGTTTTATACTCGTGCCTTCAACTTCAAAGGGCTAAGTTTTAATTTTTGAATTATTAAAGCTGAGAATAATTCGGTAACTAAAAAGTTCGTTTCAAAAATAACTTTATTGCACAAGTTGACTATTTGATTATTATGTTACTCTTGACTAATGTTTTTTTAATACCATTGGACCGAGTGGCTTTAATAAATGTTTAACGTGCAACATCGTATCTAATCAATCACTTGTTTCTTCCCACACTTATTTGAGATCATATAAGGTGGTCACTGTCCAAGTCACATAACTCTTACATTGGATTTGACATAATTTTGGAACTTTGTGAGCTTAGAAAATTCCTGGTCAAAGTTTTGCAAGCAACATCAATCTTGGATACTACTAAAGGAAGTTAAAATGTGGTCATAACTTGAAATCACTTTCCGGTATCTGAATTGTGAAACGTGGGAAAATCTTGTACGCAAAGACATAATTTGAGATAACTATTCATGGTCCATAACTCTAGCAATGATTTGACTGACTAATAAGCCTTGTTTTGCATGCAACCTGAATCAGAAGGTGACCATAAATACATCAAATCTTCGAATATTCTGAGAGTATTCACTTGAATTCCATTACATGTCTCTGTTATCATAACTGGTGGTCATGATCAAAGGTCAATAGATCTGGCATATATTTTGTTTGACTTGTAACCCTTTGTGAACTTCCACAAATTTTAATTAAAGCGTATGCATGCATCGTCAATCTTCAAAATTATTGATAGTATCCGCTTGAAATTAATTCATGATTTAGGAATTTTATTTCAGGTCACTTTCCATGACTTATGTGTGATATGGATTTTGAATAAGATATGGTCCTTTATATGTGATTTAGTTTTCGAGATGGAATTTCCCCTCTGTTAATCATCCAGGCTTTTTTACTATCAAGCACTGAAAATATTTGAGTGCATTGTCCTACTGACAACTTTTGTTTTATAAATTAATCACAACATATAGAGTGGTTTATTTGAAACTATATTTATTTTTCATTGTACATAAATACTCAATGTGATTATGATTATGAATATATAAGAAAAGGGTAGAGAACGAAATGGGTTTTTTTACAGTTGATTACAGTTCAGCCGTTGACAAATTTTAGTTCCATTTCAACTGAAATGCAAAACAATACGTTGTTCAAACTAAGTTAGTTTGTAAGTAAGATCAGCTGAAGGCCGTCGTGCCAATATCCATGAGGGTTTCCTTTGCAAGGTTCGTTGTACCGCCTCTTAGCTATTTGTTTTGCATAACCAAGTTTACATAGGTTATAAGCTAGTAACGCCACAAATTCATCATCAACACTCATATTGTTCATGAAAATGTTAGCATAAATACTGGTACCGCATGCCTTTAGTTCATATTTCTGAGAAAAACAATATTCGCAACGACTTCTAAAGAAATGAATGGCTTTAGCTTCATTTGGTGCAGCATTTATCTCTTCTATTCTCTTGATCACTTTCCCTAGTTCTCCTTCAAAGTTTGAAAATCGCTGATGCAAGGAAGCCATTTGGTTTTCATACTTCACTGCATGGTATGACTTCAATTTATCTATCAATGATTGTACATTAAGGTGTTTTGCAACATCATACAATTGTAATACCTTTTCTACCTTTGGCAAGGTGCCAAATCGGAGAAAATTCAAGATGACTTTAAATATTTCAGCTTCACAATCAATGAAGAAGCTTCCATCAGAATCCTTATGAAAAACATCGTGTTTCGTTAGCATGTTGGCAAGTTTACTTCCGGGATCCTTCATTAATGTTTCGGCTGTTGTTGTCATACGTGTTCCGCCAACATTAAGTTTGACTAACTTGTGTACCTAAAATAAAATTAGGTGTTATATGTGTGTTTTTGTCAAGACATATCAGTTAAAATGAGATAAAGCGGGGAAATGCTGTAAAATCGACATATTGTTGTCAAAGGCACATTATGCCTCAGAAATGGGTAAATATTTGCTTCTTTTAAATGAGAAAGGAAAGACATGAGCTTTTACAGAATGTTAAAAGATTATCACCTGTGGCAAATAGTGCTGCATCTGTAATTATGTGTCATAAAAGTAGCACCCCCCCCCAAAAAAAAAAAAAAAAACAAAAAAAAACAACATCAAAATATAAAAAAATATATAATATTTTTACTTCTATACAAAGTACTAAATTACAAAAACTGTACTACTATAATTGCGAAAAAGCAGCAGAATCAAAGGATGATTCAGGTAGCTGGCATGCAAGAGAGTAAATTTTGGAAACTATAAGAGGACACACAGAATGAAAAGCTTTTGAGAAATAAGCAAAAAAAAAAAGAAGACAATCCAGAAGCATTATGGGCAAATAATGATAGAAATACATATTGATCTGTTACATATACATTCAAATTTCATAATGCATTCTAAAGTTAAGATTCATTGTTAACTTGTTAAGAATACTCGAAAAAGTTAAATTCCACATACCTGTGACGCCATTTTGATTTTAAACGAACATGCACTCCATATGACTAAAGATAACAATTTACGCAAAATACAAAATTGATATCAGCGGCGGGTGCGGGGGGGGGGGGGGGGGTATGACAACAAAAGAGAACGACAAATAATCATTTCACATACTGGTAGATGATTTATTTTATTTGACCCTTAAAAGATTTGTGTGTGGTTTGAGTTTGATAAAAAGATAAACATGTAATAGCAAACAAAGACATAAACACTGTTTAACAACACATGAAACAAATATCTTCAAGATATAAACTTCTAAATCAATTGCAAAATCATTTGCATAACTTAAATCAATTCTTTAATTAAATGATAAAATAAGTAAAGATATATTAACACATGTCAAAAAGACATAAAACAAATCTGTCAAAAGTTGGAGAAGATAAAGGCAAACATTTATCTATAAATGTCTATTAAATGCTGATTGACATGACTGTTTAATCTTTAAGATTAAACATTTAATGACAAAAATTGAGACAGATGAATGCATGTTATGTCTGCTCTTTATGTCGGGGTATGTCTAGATTGGAAAAGCGGTATACGATTGCGTTTCTCATTAAAATTATTTTCATTTCAATCTTCATCGCAGAATAAAGGTAAATGTTAGTTTCAAGCTGTACGTTTTTCAAACTTTTCCTTTTCAAGCATATAACCGGGCAACACGGTATGGAGAAGCAACAGCTTGCAAAATAAATTTAATGAAAATAAAATTTCACACACTGGTTTTTAATACAGAAACAGTGGAAAAAACATTAATCAAAATATATTTTTCATGTTAACAGCAATATTAGATAGGTTCTTTTATGAAATATCCACTTTTTGAAAGTATTTTTATCATTTTTGTCTGATATGTACCCTCGACTAATGTATATTCGCGGTATTAGGCATTTATGTGTTGACATAATTTTAATTTAAAAGGAAAACAAAATATCCACTTACCTTACTCCAAATTTCATTAATAATCCTTCATAAATGTTTTCACAACACAACACTTTTTACTGTAAATCTTAGCATCAAACAAAAGTAATGTATCAACACGGACTTGATTTTAATTCGCGGATGAATACACAGATGTCAAATTAGGCTAAATTAATGATAATTGTTTGTTTTTCAGTCACTTAAAATGCAAAATAACACTTAACTTTGAAATATAAAACTTTTAACCACTGGTAACATATTTACAGTGTATATTGTCCAGATTAGTTTATTCTTCATTAGATTTGCAGTGAGGACAAAAGAATTTGTCTCCCCTTCTAATTACTCTCACTGGTGAGCAATACTTCAAATGGGTCCAGTGTCTGCAGGGTTTACCATTTGTGATTCCATCACATTCTGCCCATTTCACAAATGTAAGAGAGACACAGTTTGCCAACTCTGCAGGCTGAAACAAGTCACAAACACAACATTTTTCAGTGTCACAGTTATCTTCACATTCACTGTCATAAGTGTCAGAAGAGTTAACAACATTTATATGTGATGGACCTGGATGAGGACTGCTATGAGTAGGTGTAGGTTTTGATAATTTAGCCTTCTTAATATTTTTTGTGTTTCTTTTTTGCTTATTGATGGTTGATGATTTCTTGCTTTTTAATGATTTTTTCTGTTCATTGAAATGTTGTGCTACTGCTTTCATAACATTATCACTTGTTAATTTTTTTCCCGAAACATGTTTACTTTTGTTGCTTTCTCCAACTTTAATTCATGTAAATCATCATGGACAGTAATACTCCCAATCACAGTAGACTGACTATCTTGGCTAAAGCTTAATTGTTCAGACCCAAACACTGTAGATGGCATCATGCTGTGCTTTGGAATTGCATTTCTATCAAGAGGAAAAACACCAGTTCTCATAAATCTAGACAGCAGGTTTTCTGCAGTCAGTGCTTTTAAGTACACTCGACAAGCAATGTCACAAATATTATACTTTGTGATAGATGCAGACATTTGACGCATAAATTTATGACACTGAGAATGATACATCCTTTGGAATGGGCCATAGCATGCAACATCCAAAGGTTGGAGTAAGTGACTTGTGTGTGCTGGGAGAAAGTACATGATAATATTGTGCTTTTTGGCCCAGTCAGCAAGGATCAGAGAGGAATGGGACCTATGACATCAAGAAATAAGAGTAATGGTTGACTTCTGTCTTGCACAAATTTTATGAAATGCTCTGTGATATACTTATGGAAGACTTCCATATTTGACCATCCATTATCAGAAAAAGTTGCACCTGTGCCAGGTGACACCCCCTTTAGCATCTCTGAATTAAACCTTTTCTCCGAGAAAACAAAATAAGCAGGTACAGCAGAACCACTTGCACTACCAGCACCAATTATTGTTACAGTTTTACCTTTGCCAGAGGTAACAGCTTGAGCTGTATATTCAGAACCAGCTACAAAGTAAGGAGGTCTGTGCTCAACTGATACACCTTTCTCATCAATGTTATAGATTAAGTGCGGTTTATCTAAAAGATCATGTTTTCTTAAACATTGCTCTAGACTGTCAAAGTAAGACATTACAACACTTTCTTTTGCCATTTTTGCTCGTACAAACTCGAGGGCTCTTGGTTTAATTACACGCATTTCTGGCCATCTAGAAAGAAAACCTCTCATCCACATCATTGATAAACCTTGTTCCTTCTTTCGTTTACCCAACTCAACAGCATATTGTGAGGCAACATCAATACATTCATTTTGAGTATAACCATAGCCTAGCTAACTCTGTCATATAACTATTTTAGCCTCCTCATACTGTTCAAAAAGAGGAGTTTTACCCATCACTACGTGTCTGGATCAACTTTTCCTAATACCCTGTCCCTTAAGGTAATTTCAGGTACACAAAAAACCTTTGAAGCCCTCAGAACTGACATTCCTTCCTCTTTTACACATTTATAGGCTGAAGTAAGGGCTGCAGGTGAGTACAGCCTATATTTTTCCTGATAGGTTGAGGATTTGCCTAAAAGAAAAGAATAAAAACATTTTTTTTGTCTGTAAGTGATATGGGTGTTGAAAACCCACTGTAAAAAATTTGCATGGCCTTAATTTGTTTCAATGTTTATGTCACGTGACATTCATTCATTCATGAACCAAACGAATTAAAGATTTATTAAAAAGAATAAGGATGGTTACTTTGGAGATTATTTTGTTCTAATAATTTCTTAAATAACTCATTAATACCTGTAAATAAAGCGCATTTCCACAAGTAGGTCAGACGATACGGTAGAGTAAACACTGTAGTAAATATGACGTCACAGGGTAGCAGGTGCGACGAGATTTAGCGAGACTACGCGAGTGTAAACAGATTTCGCGAATTAATATACATCGCGATTTTACATCAGTCGAGGATATTTCTAGAACAGTGTTATTATTAATTAAGTTGTTTTAGGATGTTGTACCAGTATAATCAAATGTTAAGTGGATAATCCAACCTTAAGATATAATGTTGTTTATCAAATATTATTTTTGTCATAACTTACTAATAGTCTTCTTTACTAATAACTTATTTATGTATAGAACTCAATGAATAAGAAATATTTTTTTTCTTGATTTATTTACTTTCAAAAGAGAATCGTTAGAATTTCCCCTGTATACGACAATATAACAAAACTGACCACCAGCCACTAGTCTGAGACAAATGTACAAGCCTTCGACAAGATTTGTCATAAACTTCCGTGATGTATGCTAGACAATTCTAAATACCAACTACCTGAGCGTCCAGATGATATGTGTACCATGTTTTACAATCATATACGAGGGTAGGTTAAGCAGCTTTAATGAAGGTCCATATATTAGAAATCTGTAGTTCCAGTGAGAATATAATCCATTCAATGGTTGTACAGTACAGTGACAACTAGAGCGGCATCATATTTAATATGCATATCTAAAATCCTGCATAATAATTTAATATGTAGTTCCGTGCAAATGATGTTTACAAGCTATTTGATTTGTAATGTAGAACTTTTATAAAAGGTGTAGTGGTGTATGCAATGCTGCTCATCGCTGGATGAAGGGACGATTACTAAACATTTTACTAAATTTAGAATTTACCCTAAAGACAGAGCCTTTTTTGACCTTGATGTCAACTTTTGTAGAGACCCACAAGGAAACACCCATATTAAGTTATTTTGCTGCCTTCCATTTCTAATACTTTAACGCTGCAGCTGGTTGCGTTTGTACGTTGCGAACATTTGACATTTACAAATTTGACAACTTGGACCATTGATTTTTAGAGTATTTCATATCAAGGTGTCATTTTATTTCTTATTCTATTATAATTATTGTCACATTTTGCATTCACTTGTCATCGATTAATAACAAGTCCGATGGCGCCTTCACTGCATTTTTAATGTTATTAAAATTCGTTATAAATCAATAAATATTTTCAGTTTCACATCGAGATGCATCAAGTGCATATTTTCAACTTGACTTGCTCAAATATGTGGCCCTTTTATTATGAATACATATTTTCAACATTCCGATACTGATGTACTGATGGTGACGTATGGATGATGATGTACTGATGATGATGTACTGATGCTTATTATAATGATGGTGGTACCGATAATGGTAGTGATGATTGTGATGTGATGATGATTTTACTTATAAACTATTGATTATGATTATGAAGATGATGATATACTGGTTATAAAGATTGAATGAAACTGATATTCAATTATGATGATAATGTCCAAAAAAAGGAGATGATGATCAAGATGATTATGTGCTTGTAATGATGGTGATGATGATGATGATTTTGTACTTGTGATGAGAATGATGGAAATGCGTCGTCGTCGTTGTTGTTGTTGTTGTTGTTGTTGTTGAAGTTGATGACGATGAAGATGATGATGATGATGATGATGATATTTATAATGATGTACAGATAATGAAAAGTATGATGTTGATGATATCTATAATATTGTACTGATTATGATTATTTTGATGATGAGTATGATGATGTTGATGATGGTAGTGATGATGTTGATGATGATGATGATGATGAGGAGGAGGATGACGACGACGATGATGAGTATGATGATGTAGATGATGATAATTACGATGATGAT